ACTAGTAAATTGGAAGGAATGTTTAAAGATATGGAACTTAGTAAAGATATTAATATTGCTTTTAAACAGGTAATAATAAAACTTATGTTTAATTATTTATTTTTAGTTTATTTTTAATTTATATATTTATAAATTTTTTATATATTATTTATTCAATTATATGATTGTAAAACTTTTTTTATTATTTAAATTAGTATGCAGGAAATTTGCAAAGTGAATTATCTGCTAGTAATTTGGATTTGACTGTTTCGATACTTACAATGGGTTATTGGCCAACATATCCTGTAATGGAAGTAACATTACCACCAGAAATGGTTCAATATCAAGATGTATTTAATAAATTTTATTTAGGAAAACATAGTGGTAGAAAATTGCAATGGCAACCTACTTTAGGACATTGTGTACTAAAAGCTTGGTTTAATCAGGTATTATTGTTATATTAATATATTAAATTTATATTAAATTAATTATATATTCCATAGAAACATTTCGCTTAAATGTCAAAATAGGGCAACAAAGAACTTCAAGTTTCATTGTTTCAAGCATTAGTGTTAATTTTGTTTAATGATGCTGACAACTTGTCCTTGGAAGATATAAAAGCAGCAACAAATATAGAAGATGGTGAGCTTAGAAGAACTTTACAATCTTTAGCTTGTGGAAAAGCCAGAGTATTACAAAAAAATCCGAGAGGAAGAGATGTTGCAGATAACGATAGATTTGTTTTTAATGCAGACTTTACAAATAAATTATTCAGAATTAAGATAAATCAAATTCAAATGAAAGAAACGGTATGATCTTTTAAGTAATTATTTTCTTTTACATAAGACATAATTAAAAAATGTATTATTTATTTTCTGTTTAGAATGAGGAACAAAAAGCTACAGAGGAAAGAGTATATCAGGATAGACAATATCAGATAGATGCAGCTATTGTTAGAATTATGAAAATGAGAAAAACACTTTCGCACAATTTGTTGATTAGTGAATTATACAATCAACTTAAGTTTCCTGTAAAGGTATTGTGATTTATAAAATAATATATATTATAAAGATTTTAAATATATTGAATTATATAATTATAAAAAAAATTTTTCAGCCTGCAGATTTGAAAAAGAGAATTGAATCTCTCATAGATAGGGATTATATGGAACGAGATAAAGATAATGCAAATGAGTACAATTATGTTGCATAACCTGAACCAAATACCAAAGTCATTTCAGACTGGGTGGTCACTGTGTTTTTTAGCAAAAAAACCAATTTGTTTTGGTGTTTGCTCATTGTGAATGTGACATGTTGAACAAGAAAAAACGAAAAACTTATAACTGATTGAATGTCAGCATAATGTTGCATCATGTGATCAGTTAATAAAAAAATAGAGTGGACTCTATAAATTCGGTTTTTATAGTGCGTAATGAATACTGGACATTGAGATCATCTTTAAGATAGTGCTTTACTGTTATTATTCTTCTGTTTATGAATTTCGCTAAAAAAGGACCATGTGCAAAATATCTAATACAGCATTTAAAGAAATATATCAACAGTTTTTTATGCAGAACAGTTTTTCACAGCATACAGGTCTAAGAAGATAACATAGAATATTCTAAGAATTAAAAAAAATGCAATGACCGAAAGTGAATAGGAATGCGTTATTTATAATAAATAGAAGAAATAGTGTATTATGGATATTGAACTTCATTGAAATAATTTTAAACAAATAGAAAATACATTATAAAATAATAATTCATGTATTGAATATATTCATTACATGAAAAAGTACTTCATTACAGAATTTTAGAAATACCGAAAAGGAAAAATCACGGTACGTTCATATTGAAAAAAATGAACAAAATATTTGAAGAAATCTTATTAAGAACATAATATTATGAATTTCTATAACAAATTTTTGTATATTACCTTATAATACAGAGTTTATAAATACAATAGGAAAACACATACAATTTGTACAAATGATGTCCATTTTTGT